TACATCTTATACTTTATCATGTCAAGATTTTGATATTAATTTACCAAACTTTCTACCAATTTATAAGAAAAATGAGCATCATTACTATGCAATATTTGGGAAAAAATAGAGACCGCACGCTAACTATAATCTAAAGTATTTTATAGAATTTTTTCTAAAACCACTAAAGGAATTTAAAGTATCATTTTACCGAGAAAAAGATCGTAGAAATCAACTTACATACTTAAAACTTGAAATAGATGGAAATCTAAAAATAATTCTTTCTGATGCTTGTTTAAGCAATAATGTAATCACAGATCCCCCAAAATTAGATCTCAATTCTTCTCAAGATATATGCCATGTCATCGATAATACTATTGGTGAAGTTAGCACAATGGAGAAAAATATACTTGAACCTTTGATTTCTTTATCTTCAGAGTTTCTCATTAAAATTAATTTGATATCGATGCCCTTATCTTTCTTTTACAGCAAAAATTCCAAATGTCAAAAGAAAAATTGGAGCAATGGCGAACCAAGATTGCTTTTGAAATGTGGGATAACTATAATTATTGGAAAAAAGAGCGTGAGAGTATGAACAAGGTCGCTTTCCTGGAATATAAGTAAAATTTTGAGGCTAAAATGAAAGTTCCTACTACTCTGCACAAAAAAGAGTTGAAAAATAAATCTTTAGCAATCATTGAATATATATAATTGCTATTTTAAAATAATGTGATCAGAATACTCTGGCTAGGAGTATATCTAGCCATATATTTTAGATAAGGTGATTTTTGTTGCCTCTTACAATTAATATAAGAAAAAATTCAAATAAAAAATTAATATTCCGATACTTGGATCATATAAGAGGTTTTTGTGTCGTGTGATTTAGGATAACAACCTGTGCTAAGCATTTTATATAAAGGAGTTTTTGTGTTATATAATTTTAATCGAGATGCAATCAGGATAGCAAAGCGCGTAGATATAACAAGACAGTAAAATATATAGGTATAATGGATCAGCAATTCGTACAGATATGGCTAAATTTTTAAAACAGTGACCCGCGGTATAATGGAACAGCAATCTGCACAAGTACAGCTAAATTTTTGGGATAGCAAGATTACATTTTGGTTATATGATTTGGGACAACAAGGTTGTATTTCAATTATATATTTTTTGGGTTAGCTAGGTTACATATTGATTATATATTTAGTAACATATGTTGGAACAGCACAGCTATACAAGAAAGGATTCTAGAATATAAAATTATATTAGGCTTAATTTTTAGGACAGCAAGGTTACATATTTTTTTCGTTATCTGGGAAGTAGTTCAAACAAGTCAAAAGTAATAAAATTGCTGTAACCTTGCTGTTCCAACCGCATTAAGATTTTTTTTATATCCATATCCATTATACCATACCATCTCTATATCTAATATCCCATCCTCATATTAAATAAAAACAGAAAACAGATATACTTATTACAATGCTTTGAGTATTACTAAGTGAGGATAGCAATTCGGCACTACATGCCTCATTCTTGGATAATATTTGAATGAATTATGTAAAGCTAACAACTGTTAACAGTTCGGCACTATGTGTCTCATCCTTAACCAATATTCGAATGCATTATATGAAGCTAACAATTACTAACAGTTTGATACTACGTGTCTCATTATCGGGTGATATTCGAATAAATTATATGAAGCTAACAACTGCTAACAATCCAGGGTTAACTATGGGTAAAGTAAATTGATAACATGACCTGATAACATTTTTTGATAGTATAACCTGATAGCATAACCAGATAGCGTGACCAGATAGCATGTATATAGCATACTCGATAGCAATTAGATAGCATTAATTGATAGTAATTATACAACGTAAATTTGATAGCATTCCCCGATAACATTTATGATGTATGTATCGTCTGATGACGCAAGTGCGAATCGTTTGTCACTCAAATGATGACGCAAGCATGAATCGTTCATCACTCGAATGATGGAGCAAATACTAATATATCTCTGACGATACAAGCACAAATCGTTCGTCACTCGAATGACGACGCAAGCATAAATCATTCGTCACTCGAATGATGAGCGAATACTAATATATCTTTGATAACACAAGCACGAATCGTTTGTCATTCGAATGACAATGCAAATGCAAAATGCTCGTCATACCTGAGACTATAATAGTCTAATCCAAGTCATTTTTTGTTTATATAAACAAAAAATGACTGTTATTATTATTATTATTACTCTTATTATTACTATTATTATTATTATCGTTCTTACTGTTAAAAAAATTATAAAATAAAAATTATAAAAGAACTATCATAGAGCAAATGCTATAATCATGACCTTTTGGCAGAGTTTGC